CAGCTTTATGGCAGCCCTGCGGGGAAGGAATTGCGGCGGGGCGCAACGGCAGCAGCCTGGCAGCACACGCTGAGCACAGGACCGCAAGAAAAGGGGATTATTTTTAGCGTGGTTTCTAAGGAAATGAGACTTTAGCAACGGCTCTGTCTGTCGGTCGCCCTCCCCTTCCTCCCCTCGCTGGGCGCTCGCTGCTCAGCACCAGTGGGGAGAGGATGGATGAGGTCCTGCCTATGGATGCTCTGGAAATGCAGCGATTGAAGCCAGGTCTCTGTGGTGGTGATGGGGGGGTGGCTCAGGGACCGTCATGTCCCCATAGGGGTGCTCGTGGGCTGGTGGCTCAGCTCTGGGTCACCCAGGGTGGGCACGGAGCCCTTTCTGTGCATCCCGGACCCTTCGTCCAGAGAAACGTTTATTGGCTGAGGCTGGGGTGGGGAAGGACCTGGCACCCCTTCAGGAAAGCATAAAAAGCAGAAATAAGCATCACACGCGCCAAATCTCCCACTGGGAGAGGAGGCAGTCAAGGTACTTGCAAGGGGAGGAACAGCATTTACAAATAGAGAATCCAATTAGAAAAATAACAATTGCTTTATTAGGAATTTTAATTCAAACTACACGAGAAAGCTGAAGGAGAAAGATGTTTATTCCAGATTTCCACCCACCGCAACACACTCGGCAAAATACAGAGTGACAACTCACTGAACTAGTGGGAAGAACAGGGAGGACATCGCTTGCCCCAGCCCGGCAGACGCAGGACGGGGACGTTCTGCCCAGCCGAGCATCCGGACCCCACTCTCCTCTTCACATCCTTCCCTGCTTTCCTTGGAAGCCGCTCATTTCCTCCTCACACAGAGCCCTGGAGCTGCATTTCCCTTCAAGGCCCGTTGTTAGCAGAGCCTTCCAGCACAGTTTGTGGTGTCACACAAGGGGTTTTGCTAATTAAACAGTCTTGGCCCCTTCCTGCATGTGGTCAGGTTCCTCCTCCCTCGGAGCTCCTGCACACCGAGCAGAGGCAATGCAGAGCAAGCAGGTGCTGGCTTTTGTTGTTAACAAACCCTCTTAATTGCCAGAGCCACATTCCCAACAGTCATCACAAACTTACAGCTTCCACATAACAGGCCCACTTTTTACTGAAATTTCTCTCCTTCATCAAAGACTCTTCTTATCCCTATGTGTTCTGCTTTCCATTACCTGACTTTGCTCAATAATTACGTTAAGTTCAGCCTGCCACATTTATCAACGTACTCTCCCTTCTGGGGACAGAACAGCACTTACACGCTTACTGGATTTTAGACGAGTGAAGCTTCCAGCTTGAAAGCCCAGGAAATGGGTAACCTCTACCCACAGCAGAGGCACGTCAGAGGGGACACCAATTTGGAGTTGCCGGTATGGCAGTAGAAAGCGTTGGCTAACAGTCTAGTTTAGAGGTGGCCTACTCGCCCCTGATACATGCTAACTCCTCATATGAGTACTCAGGCTTCAACTCAACTAGCTTAGTAATGCACTGAAGACTACATTTCCTCACCCTCAAGAGATCATCTAACATCCCACCTTATTTCCTAGTCTAGACCATGTTTTAGGACAGCCCCTCCAAGAGGGAGGGCTGCTTCAGAGCCATCTGGATGGAAGCAGAGCCTTCCACCCAGCAGCTCACCTCGAGCTGTAGCGTGGGCATCGTCTCAGCATGACCTGCCACTGCGTCAGAGTCGATCAAGAGCCTGAGACCGTCCTCCTCGGGATCCGGTGGTGAGGGATTTCACAAAATAGTCCGGCTCCAAAAGAGAGAAAGCCAAGGAAATAGAGACACCCTTGAGAGCAAAGCCATGCCTGGTGCTTTGGTTTCTAACAGACACTTCCTATTTTGGCACTTCGGAAGGAAGATGCACACAAAGGTTGTATGTGTTTCAGTGAACACTTTTTGTTCGATGAAGAAAAATACTTGCATTGATTTGCTCCAGGCTAACATAAATATCAGAGATTGTTAAAATCTATGAATAGGGGCCAATGTTCACATCAGCTCATGTGGTCCTGGCGCGTTTGTCGGATTAGGGAATGGATTTGCTCTTCCTGCTTGTGTCTCGGAGGCTGCTAAGCAGCATATCACCAGGGACCAGCTCCCTTGGCAAAGCCACACAGCAAGGACGATGCCGACAGCCTCAGCAGGATGCGTCTCCCTGCAGTGCTGCCACACACCCTCCCCTCCTGCGTGGGCAGGGGGCATTTTAGACAACCCAGTTTATTCCCTCTTAAACCCAGTGCAGGAAGGCAAAACCCAGCTTCTGGAGCACAGGAAGAACACTGTTTTCCCCAGGCTGAATTAAAAAAAAAAAAAAAAAGGAAATAATAATAATAATAATAAAAAAAAAATCAATACAGCACTCCTGTACTGCACAGCTTTCTTTTGTGTTTGTCAGGCAAGCAGAAGGGCTCTTCATCCCCGGTACCGGCACTGGCAGAAAACGGGTGAGCTGTAGCTGACAGCAGGGTCTTCCTAGTGACAACTGGAAAGCTGCTGCTGTTCTACTGCTATTGATCTAAGCAGAATACAAAACACCTGAAGTCAGCAGGGAAAAATAGCTGCAGTTGGAAAAAAAACTGCAGGGGGGGAGAGCAGGTAAGAAGTTCTCCATGCATAAAATTAAAGGACGGGCTTTTTATTGCAGCTATCTTGCCTGACTACAATACTGGATCGATGTACAGAGCAGGAATACTGCCATCATTGTTTTTGCAATCTCTCATTTAACAAGAAACAAAAGGTTTCACTCCCACTTGTGCCAGCGCCTTGCCACCAATGGCTCCTCTCTCCCATTGTCAGCAAGGAAGCAGCTCTACCTCCCGTCAGCCCAAAACGTCCTCAGGACAACGATCTTTGCCTACTCACTGCAGGTGCCAGTGCATCGCTCGCACCCTGGAGACGCGGAGCCCTTCCGAGAGGAGAGCCTGTCCGCTCTGGGAAGCGGCAGCCCGGACTGTGCACTGCTTTGGGTCTGTCCAAGCGCACACCACCATGGCTGTAGCTCAGCCCGGAAGGGATTCGGTTACCTCCCCTTTCTACCCCGGCTCATCTCTGAGCCTGAAAGAAGCAGGCACCCAGCCAGCTCTCGTTCAGTAAGTGGCTTCCTTGGGAACCTTCCCTGTTGTGACAGCTCAAACATTACAGGGACTGCCAGAACCAAACCACTCAAGGAAGAGATCCCCTCCCCCTTCTGACATTGACAACCGAGGCAGCAGCAGGCAACACCGCGTGCAGGAGTCTACTTAAAATGTCACTGAGGCACAGGCTGACGGAGGACACCAAGGCGTCCTTCCCCCGCCCTGGAGGTGATGCTGGGGTGGGTTGCCTCACATTTTTGTTGTTCCTTTCCTGTGGTCTGTGCCTGCTGCAATCTGACAGCCTCTAATCGCTCAGCGTGAACCAGAAACGTCACTCTCATCTGTACTGATGATGGTGCTACTCACAAGCGCAAGAACATACGCAGGCTCAGCCACCCACCCCATAAAGCATGCCCCTAAGCCATCTCACCCCTCAGCTTTAACCTTCAGGTCTTTTCTGCTTCCCTGTCGCTTGAAAGCCACATTTCCTTCTCTCTCCCTCTCCAACTGACAGAGTCAATCCACAGGGCAACTTTTATGTTTAAAGGGAAAGCCACCAGTTTCTCAGGGACACAGGGCACAAGGGGGAGGAGCTCAAAGAGCCAAGTGCAGGTCACGATGACTCCTCAGCTATGAAATCCACAAAAAGGCCCACCTTTTCTCCTTGCCAGCCCCAGAGGGGTTCCCCAATCAGTCTCACCTCCTGCAGCAGCAAGGCCTGAATAAGCTACAAGGAGCACAACACGCAGAGGACCGAATTCCTCACTGCAGCAACAGCAGGCAGTTTTCTGGCATCCTGCTCCTGTTTTGCTCGGAGACAGGAGCCATCTTGAGCCCTTTGCAGACTTGTTCCTGGCACTGCGAACAGTGACATCAGAGAAAAGTGAACTCATCGGTAGAGCTGTGACTGGTCCTCTCCCCCCATCCCAGAGCATATCGCTCCTCTCCCTCCTCAAGCCAATTCCCTTACCCAAATTACAAGTAAAACTAATTTTCTGGGTCCTTCTAGCCATTTCCACCCACGATTCAATCACTCATCTTCCCCTTCCACGCCTCCTCTTTGTCCAACCATTCAGTCCAAGATCTGACCTAATTAGTTGATTACCAATTCCAGCTGTGGATGCACACTGCTTTGTTAGAGCAGAGCTGTCTTTTGAAGCAATAATTTCTATCAGACAGGATTCAAAATGAAGAGGCCTCAAAAGGCCTTCAGCTGAAAGGTGCCCAACGTGAATTTTTAAGAGAAGAGTCCAAATGGATTCTGAAAATAGCAGACTGGTTTTCTAACTCTTACTTAAGGCCCGGCATTCTGCAGCTTGGAGGGCAGGGAAGTATTTGGGAGGTTTTGCAGCAGGAGCCCAGAGGAGAGAGCAAGTTTGTGACATCCTTTAGCAAGGGCTCATCTCTGGGTCTAAATGTTGATGTCCTACACACCACGCTGAGTGCGAGACACTTTAAGGCAGTAAGTGCACTGTTTCTGACAGCAGAAACATCTCTGAAGATCAGTGAGTAACATGGTGACTCAGGCAGGTGACCTTGGGTCTGCCCCACAGCCGAAGCCACCAGGGCTCTGCTTCTCGGGGCAAGAGGCTATTTAAGAAGAGCTAAAAGGAAAGGATGGGCTAATTTTCCCTACTCGGCTTTTTGCCCCCCCCAAGTCAAACTCGGATTCAGCAGGGACTCAAAGAGGATTTTATCAGTTTACCCCTACCCTGACAAAACACAATTTGGAGAAACTAACTCCATTACAGCACCATCCATCTTTTCCTGCTTCTCTCTTCCCCAGCAAGCCCCAGGAAGCCGTTCTCATCCTCACCCCAACATTTGCAGCTTTAGCTCTAAACCAAGCCGGAGCTGGACTCTGCTCCGCAGACAGATCTGAGCTCCCACGCCTAGATAAACTACCATCAGCACTAACTCAGCAGCCACCACAGTTTGCAAGACACATTTCGGGCTGCCCAGCCCCCTTCCCACGCGAGTTTACTGGGGCCTCTACTCTCGGTGAAGCAGCACCGTTGAACAGACAACATCCAGCCCAACCAGGCCACCCTCCGCCCACCCTCATCCACCTCCACAGAGGAGAAAGGTAGAACAATGCCAGAACAATCCCCCAAACAAAATGACACCAAGAAAAAACTAGAACAAAGAATTGTTTAATTGCTTAACCCTTTCTCTTCCAGGGACCAGAGAAACAAGTTTTCTGCTCCTTCTAATGAGGGCAGTAAGGCTTGTGTGTTACCTCTACAACTGCAGGGGCAAAGTTTACGAGATGATCATCTTTAGTACTTGAAAAAGCGAGAAGCAGTGGTCATTGCAACACTAAGAGAATCCTAGAGTCTCCTAACGGAGAGCCCATTGCTAGAATACAAAAATAGAGGAGGCATCCCTGCATATCCCAGGCTGGAAAGAGTTAACCAGAAAGAGCAGGAAGAAGCTTTCCCAAAGAGGAGGTTGAAGTAAACAGCAGAGGTCAATAAAGCAACATCTTCTTCCCTACTTCCCCAGCATGTTTTTTTCCTTCACCAATAAATACAAATTCCTCATTAACCAGCGACAAAGCAGGTAATCTGCCCACAACAAGGGGAAAGGGGGCTAGAGGCAGAAAGATTTTTCTCTCCCCTTCTCTCCCCTTATT